TCCGTGAGTATCTTCGTTCATAACGATCATCTCTACTCCTTCTCTCTCTTGGTGGTGATCCTTTGCTTCTTCCTTTTGGAGAATCTTCTCTTCTCTTGTAGGGAGCCGTACACTCATTGGAATAGTGTCCGGGTCTTCCACAATTGTAGCAGTTTCGCTCTCGACTAGAAGATCTTTTATCATTGTAGGACCTTGACTTGGAGCTTCTATCTTTGCTTCTACTCTTGTAGAACTTGTTGAAGTTCTTCACCATTAAGCTCAATTCTTCATTGAAGTCTTGTTTCTCACTTGATGATGTAGGGGCTTCACATGAGGCTTTATAGGCACCACTTGATTTATTGTGAAGTTCCTCTTTATCCTTAAGTGACATCTCATGAGCAACAATTCTTCCAATCACTTCCGTTGGATTGAGATCTTTGTAATTGGGCATCATTTGGATCAATGTGCACACGGTATCATATTTTCCATCCAAGGCTCTTAGAATCTTCTTGATGATGAATTTGTTGGTCATCTCTTCACTTCCTAAGCCGGCAATCTCATTTGTGATGAGAGCAAGCCTAGAGTACATTTCGGCGACACCTTCACCATCCTTCATCTTGAACTTATCAAGTTGGCTTTGAAGCACATCCAACTTGGATTCCTTGACAGAGTCGGTACCTTCGTGCATATCAATCAAAGTGTCCCAAATTTCCTTTGCATTCTCAATGCGGCTGATTTTGTTGAATTCTTCGGGGCACAATCCATTGAAGAGAATATCACAAGCTTGAGCATTGTATTGCAACATCTTCAACTCATCCGCGGTAGCTTCACGGTTCGGTTCTCTCCCATCAAAGAAGTCATCTTGCAAACCAACACACACAATAGCCCAAACGGTGGGGTTATGTCCAAGAATATGCATTTTCATTTTATGCTTCCAACTAGCAAAATTAGTACCATCAAAGTAAGGACCTCTACGGTGATAACTTCCCTCGCTAGACGCCATACTCTCCTAGGTTGTGAAACCAAGGCTATGACCATCAAAATCTATGGAGATCAAGCAAATGGAGACCAAAGCTCTGATACCACTTGTAGGATCGAAAGTATGTCTAGAGGGGGGGGGTGATTAGACTACTTGACCAAATAAAAACTTAACATTTTCCCAATTTTAGTTCTTGGCAGATTTTAGCTAATTTAGGACAAGTCAAGCAATCATCACATAATTCAAGCAAGCATGCAAAGAGTATATAGGCAGCGGAAAGTAAAGCATGTAACTTGCAAGAATGTAAAGGGAAGGGTTTGGAGAATTCAAACGCTATTGGAGACATGGATGTTTTTCCTGTGGTTCGGATAGGTGGTGCTATCCTACATCCACGTTGATGGAGACTTCAACTCACGAAGGGTAACGGTTGCGCGAGTCCACACAGGGCTCCACCCAAGGGTAATGGTTGCGCGAGTCCACACAGGGCTCCACCCACGAAGGGTCCACGAAGAAGCAACCACCCACAAAGGGTCCACGAAGAAGCAACCTTGCCTATCCCACCATGGCCATCGCCCACACAGGACTTGCCTCACTAGCAGTAGATCTTCACGAAGTAGGCGATCTCCTTGCCCTTACAAACTCCTTGATTCAACTCCACAATCTTGTCGGAGGCTCCCAAGTGACACCTAGCCAATCTAGGAGACACCACTCTCCAAGAAGTAACAAATGGTGTGTAGGTAATGAACTCCTTGCTCTTGTGCTTCAAATGATAGTCTCCCCAACACTCAACTCTCTCTCATAGGATTTGGATTTGGTGGAAAGAGGGTTTGAGTGGAAAGCAACTTGGGAAGGCTAGAGATCAATATTCATATGGTAGGAATGAAATGTCTTGGTCTCAACACATGAGTAGGTGGTTCTTTCTCAGAACATATGAGTTGGAATGATGTGTGTGTTCTGATGGCTCTCTCATTAAATGAGAAGAAGGTGGACGGGTATATATAGCCTCCACACAAAATCCAACCGTTACACAGTTTTCCAATCTCGGTGGGACCGAATCAATAAGCTCGGTCGGACCGAAAATGTAAACCTAGTGACCATTAGTGATTTTCGGTGGGACTGACATGCAACTCGGTAGGACCGATATGGTTAGGGTTTGGGCATAACGTAATCTCGGTGAGACCGATTACACAAACTCGGTGAGACCGAATTTGGTAATTAGCTAACCAGAGAGTTGGTCAGGCAAACTCGGTGGGACCGATTTGCTCTTTCGGTGAGACCAAAAAGTTCCAAAGGGGAAACACTGAGTTTACATTGCAATCTCGGTGGGACCGATTCGCTCTTTCAGTGGGACCGAAAAGTTACGAAAGGGAAACAGAGAGTTTGCAACCACATCTCGGTGAGACCGAGATCCCTATCGGTAGGACCGAATTGCTAGGGTTTGGCAGTGGCTAATGACAAGTGAAACTCGGTGGCGCCGGATAGGAAGAATCCGTAGGACCGAGTTTGGCTTAGGGTTTAGGTCATATAAGGATATGGGAAAGTAGTTGAGGGTTTTGGAGCATATCACTAAGCACATGAAGCAAGAGGCTCATTAAGCAACACCTCATCCCTCCTTGATGGTATTGGCTTTTCCTATGGACTCAATGTGATCTTGGATCACTAAAATATAAAATGAAGAGTCTTGAGCTTTTGAGCTTGAGCCAATGCTTTGTCCTTAGCATTTTGAGGGTTCCACTTTCACATCCATGCCATGCCAATCATTGAGCTTTCCTGAAATAATCATCTTGGAATAGTATTAGCTCAATGAGCTATATGTTGTTATGAATTACCAAAACCACCTAGGGATAGTTGCACTTTCAACTACACTAGTGTTAAAAAGTTCTTATATTTTAAAACGGAGGGAGTAATTGGTAAACTCTGTAGACTCCGTCACTGCCCAATGTCGGCTTGGCCAGTGCTGGCAGGTCCATCGCGGTGCCGTGCAGGCGCAATGGTGTGCGGATGCCAGACTCTCGGTTGCAATCCCATCTGTCCCACATTTCGGGATGATACATTGATGAGTATCCTGAATCCTGATTACCAACTGACCTAAAATAGAGATGCAGTACAATAGCTAGCTTGATGACCTGGTTTGTCAAAACCATGAGGATGCAATTCGGAAAGCACTTTCCCTAGCTATTATCAATGCATTGCACTTACCTGAATTTTCAGGTACAAATTCACAAAAGTCAAACTAAACAATTAATTCACGTCGGTCTGCATCAGATCCATCAACACACACATCATGCTAGCATCACACCCAAACATTGGAGAAAGGAGATGAGACAGCAAGGCCACTGCAGGGGGATGCAGTGTTGCTGCAGCTAGAGGCCGAAGGCCGCGGTTGCCAGCAGGAGCAGGAGGGCGGTGGTGCCGCTTTTGTCCTCGTGGCTAGTCGGTGCAAGATGCAAGCAGGGGCGAGGTCGTAGTTGTGGTAAGAATAGGATGTGGCAGTCTAGAGGAGCACGACGGGCCGATGGTGCATGCGATGGTTCCCGGTGGTTGGTGGAAGTGTTTGGATGCATCGTAGCCATCTTCGCCGCCGACAAGGGCGTCGCCGTGCCGGACGTCCTGCAGAGCTAGGACCAGCGGAGGCCGAAGAGGGCTGCCGACGGCGCAGGACAGAGTTGGAGCGGTTGGATAAGAAGAATTCACGTTTTTTAAATTTCAGCCAACTAAATAAAGGATCGTGGACGGAATTCTGACAGATCCAAGGTTTGTTTTTGTGTAAAAATGAAGTGTTTTCCCAGATCCACCTAAAAAGAGACAACAAGTTCATTATGAAAAAGTACACGGACTTTTTTTTTGCAAAATGCCGTGATGGTGAGTGGGTAGAAGCGGTTGATGCTTTATTATTAAATAAAGATAAAGATTTTCAAAATTAAACTAAATATTACAATTTAAATTTTTAAAAACGTTAACCGTACATTGAAAAATGTTAGTGCGTTGTAAAATTAAGTTCGCAAAAATATGAAAAAATGTTAATATCATTCAAAAAAATTGTATGTTACATTTAGAAATGTTCAGGTGCTACAAAAATATGTCGCTACAATTTTATAAAAAGTTTATACAAGGTAAATAAATGTTCATTTAATTCAAAAAGAGTTTCACATCATTCAAAAAAATGTACATGGCATTTAAGAATTATATTTATACACTGTAAAAAAATGCTTGGTATCATTCAAGAAAAATTTCCACATGTATTTATATAACACGTATCCCAAAACTGTTCATCATGTATTTAAAAAATATTCAACATGCGTCAAAAAATGTTCCGGGTCTATACGATGTGTATTGCAAAAAGTAGACCAGTATTAAAAGCAGAAAAAAACTTTAAAACTCCGAAAAACCGATAAAGAAACATCTAGAAAACTGAAAACCAAAAGAAAAAGGCATGAAAGTCGAATCCTATCCGCACCAGCCGAAGTATCTCGAGCCTTTTTTTTAACACAGTACATACTCAAGCACTCATACATATGCACATACATTCACCTCTATGAACGCACACACATACACTCCATCCCTGTGAGCATTTTTAAGAAACTGAGTCGACATTTCATCTTAAGATTTACAAAGTCATTGTAGACGTCTCATCGTTGACGAAAACGTCTCCTTTCACGAAAATCCGAAGTATCTCCGGCCCTTTTCCCCTCGGCCCTCACCGTTGCACTTGCACGGCACAAAACTCTGGGAAACAAAAACGCCAACGAGGCCGAAACCCCGGCACAGCACAGCGGCGACTGGCGAGACCTATCCACTCCCCTCCATGCACCATCGCGGCTCACTCCTTCCCAGCCACACTACCCACCACCACGACACCAACGCGCCACGCCCCACCCTCCCGCCGTGGGCAAAGCGCCCCGACCAGCGCCGCCACCATCCTCCGGCCGCGCGCGCAGCGCGAGGCCGCCACCCGCCACGGCGCGCCGCGCCCGTCCTACCATGCGGTGACGCCCGAAGCCGCCACACCGAGCCCTTCTGACCGCCTCGCCGCCGCACGCACATGCAGTTCCCCCCGTCGCCCGCGCGCTCCATGGCCGCGCCCGCGGCCGTGCCCGCCGTGTCCTGCCTGCGCCTCCTCCTCCTCCCCGGGTTCAGCGCCTCCCTCCTCGCGAGCCGCGGCCGCGCCCGCGGGGTGGCGGTGAGGTCGGGCGCGGCCCCGCCCGACCCGGCGGCCATGCTGCGCCGGCCGGCCGCCGCCACGACGGCCGCGGAGGAGCGGGAGGCCGACGCGGACGCCTCGCTGGGCTCTCCGGTGGACGACGAGCCGCCCGAGGAGGGGAGGAGGAGGGGGCCCGAGAGGGAGTGGGTGGACTGGGAGGACCTCATCCTCGAGGACACCGTGCCGCTCGTCGGCTTCGTGCGGATGATACTCCACTCCGGCAAGTAGGCAGCTTTTCCCTCTTCACCCTCTTGTCTATTGTTCGTCCTAATTTCATTTGCTGCTGTAAATTCAATCAGCACTAATCTTAGTATGGCAGCACCTGTACATCATATGTCAATCCCTCTGTAAATGCACTGCTGTAACCTGGTGCAATTTATCAAACACATGGTGTGCGAACTGAACTTATCACCCATGGAATGTGAATAGATATATCCTGGATTGTTTGAATGTTTTAGGCACAGTTAGACCGACTGCCCATAGTGCTAGATGTATAGTAGAGACACTTATTTTGGGACGGAGGGAGTAGAACTTAGTTCAAGGCGAATGGCAGCAATTCTATAGCTGGTTTGGTGCTGGACAGAAGATGATGGAAGGGATTACTAGGAATTGACTCAGTTGAATGTAACGGTTTAATCGGTTGGTCGAGCAAGTTGGTTGTGATATCCTGATTGGTTGGATCAGAATTCATGGACACATGCGATGAAGGACTTGGAAATGGTTGAGAGTTCACAAAACAGGGTGAGAATTCAGATTTTCATTTCGTCATTCGACACAGTCATTCAGCTCTTTCAGACCCCATATAATGATTCACGCTCGTAGGCTTACAGATGGACCCTCTGTCCACATACAATACACCCAGCTCAATGAGCCCTTTCCTTTTGTGTGGATTACTTCATCCTGGTTGCGCCCCTAGTCAGTCGACCTTCATGACAGTCCATCACCCTAATCACTGCTGCCCTGAACTCTCATCTTCATGTCTGCCTTGACTATGGTCATGGCGGCAATGTCCAATGGCACAGGCTCAACATGGTTCTAATCTAAACCATACAATGATACAATAAATTGCTAATTACTCTGCTGGTGCTGGGGTTTGTATTAGTTTGTTCAAATCTAGTTCAAACTAGTGACGAATATAATGCGATGGCATAGGCAGACTGACAATACTTAGTCGTTAATAATGTATGCTCACGTGCTTTTAACATGTTCGACTTCTTACCACCTGATGCATGATTAAACATTACCAATTCTTAATACCTATCTGCTTGCAAAATTCTGTAACATCAAAACCTTTTTACAAATTTTGTACTCCCTCCGTCCCTTAGTATAAGACGTTTTTGCAAGCTAACATAGCTTGCAAAAACGCCTTATATTGTGGCCTGTGGGACGGACTAGTAAGTATTAAGAGCATCTCCAATGGCCGCACAAAAATCTCACGCCCAATAAAAGTTATAGCGCGTTACTGTAGCACTTTTAATGCGCCTGGACCAACATTGCTTTAGCAGACGCTCAAAAACGCGCGCCCAAAAAGCACACGGTGCAAATTGTGAAGCGCGCGCAATCCGGAGCCCAAAATATGCTGCGTGCCGATAGCGTTTTTCAGCGCGTGCCCAAGAACTTTTAGTGCTACAGCATCCGCTGGAGCTGTTCGGCGCCCAAAAAAAACAAAATTTTAGTGCGCGGAGCTCTTTTTGGGCGCCTGTTGGAGATGCTCTAACAATATTAAAAATCTAAGTGTGTTCCTTCCTTGCTGGGAAAAATAAGGGCTAGACTGCAATCTGCAATGCAAACAATCATGTGGCCTTAAGCTGCAGAGGCCAAGTGCCTAAGTTTCGCCTGATGTTTTCGGGTTTGTGTTGTTTTGCCTTATGTTATGTGCGGAACCTGATTGATTCTGTAGGTCGATCCCTCACCACTTTGTATTATCAGTTTTCACGTTCACATGGAAATTCGGAGCTATGCTCCTCAATTTGAAAAAAAAATGGTGTCATGTGCTTGCATCACTTAATGCCTGCGTGGAGTTATGCGGACAACCAATTAGAACGTGATGTTTCTAAGGTATCATGTATCCGCCCAAAGGACTAGCAATAACAGGAAAATCGTATCTACCTTGTTTCACATGCCTTCTGGATTCTATCACACTGAAAAATGAGACTTGACAAAATTTGATCACAAATCAAGGGAGTGTTGAGAAACTTTTGGCCTGCTATACAAGTCCTTGCATATAATTAAGTCAAGCATGATGCACATATCTAGTGCTTCCAGTGATTAGCATAACCAATTTAATGTTGTCAGTATGTTACTGTAAGAAGTAGGAAATGCCCTTGTTGTTTAAAACATATATATGTTGTCAGTTATTATGGCTTCTGACTGATTAACTTCAATAAGTCAGCGACTGTCATTGTACCATTTGGTTATAGGATTATAAGATGTCATGTGGTCCCAAGTCCCATGGTCTCACAACAATCAGTAGGCTCCAACTGAGATCATGGCTCTATAAAATACATAGGATACTAATCTTAGTTTTTTTGTCTAATCATATTCTATGTGTTCATTTTTCTATAGAGGAAAGCATGAACTTCGCTTGCATATTTTTATTATACTAGTTATATTTCGAATAACATAGGAAGTGATATCTGTGGCAGGTACTCAAGTGGTGAGCGGTTGAGTCCTGAACATGAAAAGGCCATACTTGAACGATTGCTTCCATATCATCCACAATATAAGAAGAAAATTGGATGTGGTATCGACTACATCACGGTACGTGCTACGTACTCAAAACGAATGAAAGAAACGAATTGCTGATGTTACTGTCTTTGCTCTTCTTTTTGAAAAACATTGTCTTAGCACTTCTAGGACAGAGAAAGTAATCTGTCATCTCCATATGTCTTCTTGGTCCCGAGTCTTGAGCTTGGACTCTCTGCAACCCTTCTAGATATATGTCTAGTTGCACTTTGACATTCTGCTGTCCAGATGTGTTATAGTGATAGTCTCATGTTGCCAGCAAACTTCAGAATGATTAATTTATCTATTCTGATACCGACCTCCAAAATTTTAATGAGAATTTTAGGTGTTCGTCTGGCTTTTATATGCTGCCAGATGCCTAGCTCTGAGTCGAATATTTTTCTGCCGAGTCAATTATGGTTCTGATCTGGTCCATCTGGGAACCAACTAACGTTTAGTACTATATGATTTTGCAGCTAGGGTTGCATCCAGAATTCGAGAACTCAAGGTGTTTGTTCATAGTTAGGACGGACGGCGAGCAGGTCGATTTTTCTTTCTGGAAGTGCATCAAGGGTCTCATAAGACAAAAGTACCCCTTGTACGCAGACAGTTTCATTCTCAGACATTTCCGCAGGAGGCAGGACTACTGAGCTAGCGACCCGTACGGTTGTTTTCGTGTAATATTTCTGTGATTTTGATTTTGTCCACGTGCCTTAATATCATGTGACTTAGCATTCGTCCAAAATTCGTCTGGAATGACCCGTCCTACAGTTTTCAGTGGGCTCAGCATAGTTACGTGGTTTGCGGCATTCTCACAGTTGCAAATGAGCCTTGGCCCTTGGGTGCTCTTCTTGGTATGAAGCTAGTCTTGTGAAGATCACAGAAGGTATAGATATGTGATTTATATCTTTATCCCCTGCTCGGAATGCAGCTCTTTTCTACCCATTGTCAGGGCTGCATCTGCATGCCAGCCAGTCTGAGGCTAGCAAGGGCAACTTGTCAATGGACGTTATTTCCAATCCCAACTCGATCGGCGATCTTTTTGTGATCTTGCGCTGTGCCTTGTGTGATTTCCAACTCAATTCGGCGATCTTTTCTGTGATCTTGCGCCGTGCCTTGTGATTTTGTTCTGAATCAGTTTCTTGCCCTGTGCCTGAATCTGTGTGCAGATCATATGCTTGCACCCGACTATTTATTTCAGTACCACCCAATGGGAAAAGTCAAATCTTCGGCACGTTTGTTCCAGCTTAAATGCTTGGGCTGCCAGACCGCACCTCCCTCCGTTCCGCCCCAACGTTGCCTGCCAGCGCCGTGCTCACAGTGCCCAAGCTGGGAGAAACACAAGTGTGATGCATTTTTTTTTGTCTTTGGAGAAAAGAAACGTTTGTGTTTCTTCTAGTCGTCAAAACGTGTGTCTCTAGCTAGTGGACCTCCCGGCCGGCTCACGGCGCAGGCAGGCTGGCCGGCTCGTGGACCTCCAGGCCGGCGGAGGTTGGTGTCGCCCAAGAGCCGCTTGCTGTCTCTCAACGGCATCGAAGGCAGACGGAAACGCAGGTGAATCGCCCTTGCAGACGCGCCAAAGGACGGGGGCGTGGCGTGTGGCTTCAAACGTGCGGACGCTGACAGATTTGTTCTGCCTACGTGAACCACCGGGCTTGACCTGGCTAGGCTGTGTGTGATATATCATTGTCTACCTTGCCCTTGCGCCATTGGCGCGCGCACTCTCTCGTGTATCCAACACCTCCTCTAAAAAACGGAGTAACCTAAGCTACAGGAGATACCGCGATTGATTCACGGGATCTCATCAGGTGCTTTTTTCGCACACTACAATACAGATGTTCACATACACGTGCATACACTCATCTTTTGATGAACGCACACATAACCTACCCCACGAGCACCTCCAAAGGCGGCACAAGATCTCGAGATTGAAAAATCTACCATATGCGCCTTCGTAGATCGATGAAAACGTCTGCACTCACTGAACAAGCATCGCAAAGCTCGAAGTAAATTAAAAAAAATAATACGAGCACACTTAAACTCCGATGAGCTGGTTCCACCATAAGAAAACCCTAATCATTTGAGCTACATTCAGTTGAAGGATCTTATCAGGTGTTAACAACCCAACGAACTGACACACAGGCGCACAGCTGCCCAACGAACTGACAGACAACTGGTTATAATAACAAAACACATGTCTTTGCCTTGTGCCAATCTCGGTCCGGTCCGGTCCGAGGCGAAAGACGCAGCGGCACGTCTCTTCTCTCCTCCCGTGCCCGACCCGTGCATCACCGGCGGCTGGCCCGACCAGACCCGACCCGACCCTTAGGGCGTCCGACGGGCCACTTTCCTTCCCCTGTGATCTTGCCGGTGCATCTAGACCAGACTCTGCTCCCTTCTTGTTTTATGCGGTCCCTCTCCACCCTCTTGGCTCTAAACTAATCTCTGCCTTTCCGGTCAGCTCTCTCCCCCACATGTTAGCCGCGTACGTCCATGCAACGCAACCGCGATGACCGTATTGCCCCCTCCGTTGCCCCTTGGGCGTCAGCCCGATTGCGCGCACGGCCTTTGCGTCTGCGGCCGCGGCCGGGACCGGACCCGTGCCGCTGCGCGTTTCGGTGCTATACGACGCCGCGCGCCCGTCCCTTGGGGGTTTCTTAAATTTTCTTGGGACATTCCCGCTGTATCTTTGTAGGGGTTTCTGACATTCCGAGGGCGGTTCGACGGCTTGTTTGCTGCCACGACGGATGTGAGCCTGTGGGTGATAGATATCACGCGAATGTTAACAAATGTGCAGTCAACATCGGTGTCGTGGACGGACGGTTGTAAGCCATTTCTCCAGCTTGCTTTGAAAAAAATGGTGTTTTATGCTCCAATCAATTTTGCTTTGGGTTTTATTTAAACGGGAACGCCACAATCTTTTTAGGGTAGTAGAAAAATTCATCTGAAGTATAAAGCACCCTTGGAATAATAAAAGTTACACCGAAGTCTCTGCAGCATCGAAGAACTATTACTGCCATCGGAATGAGCCGCCGATGCGCCGCTATTGCTGCTCCGTACCGAAGCCGGCATACGACCTTATCGATGATAGCCTTGAAAGTCTTCATGCACGTGCCCCTAAATACCGACGCATTGGAGCCGTAGTCGTCGCCGTTGAACCCTTGAATCAATTCAAAGCACCTGACACCAATCCCGCCATCGTGCATGCATGACAAAGAACCATAATCTCATCGTCCCAAGTGGACGGCAAGAATCTACACCGGAGCTCCGTCGATCGTCCATCCGGACAGGTGAGCTCGAGGAGGATCGGCGTCTGGAAGGCCAACTCGAAGAAAAAGCACCACCATTTGTCTGAGCATCACACCTGCGAAAACTAAGGGCATGCTCGGAACCTCTCCCAACTTCCCCAAATTTGAAATCTGGCTTCTCTTTTTTTAGCATCAGTACAGACACAAGCGCTCATATACACGCGCATACACTCACCCCTATGAACGCACACACGCACACCCTACCCCTATGAACACCTCCGAGAGACTGAGCCGGCATATCATCTTGAGATTTACGAAGTCACCGTAGGCGCCTCGTCGTCGACGGGAACGTCTCCTTCCACTGAAAGCGTATCGCCGGAAATCCTGAAATAAATCCAGGAATAATGCAAGCACCAGGATTTGAACCCTGGTAGGTTGGAGATACCACTGTCCACCTAACCAACTCAACCACATGTTGATTCACAGAAATCTGGCTTCATTCGCTAGCTTCCAACTTCTCTTGGTGACCAGCGAATGTTCGGCTCAAGCGGCACTTTCTCCCAGCATGCGATGGCCTGGCAAAGTCCTTTTGGCCTATTCGGCAGTATTTTGGGCCAGCTAAAACCAGCCCATTTGGGAGCCATCCGTAGAATAGCATACCAGTTTTGCGAGAGTACCGATGAGTCGAGGTTATGGTGCTAAGCCATTTTCTTTGGCAGTGGCAATCATGGTGTAAATATAGGAACAACTCTCGCTCTCCGGTTTTGAGAAGCCGGGCTTTCTCGGCTTCTCATTTTTACACGTAGGGAAGGCTCAGCCTCTCAGAGTTGACTCTGCGGAGCTCAGGCATTCGTGGAGTTTGTGGAGTTGGAAGCTGGAGAGGATCTGGACAAAGCTGAAAAAACCCTGACATAAATGACTAGTCAGAGCTGAGGCACCAGGAGTCCCCTCCCAGCCACCGACTACTGAAGCGGCTGGCAGAGGGGAGGTGAATCAATAGGCTCGATGACGGAGCCTAGAAGGGGTATGTTTGCCCTTGCCACCATGGGGAAGTGATGGAAACGTTTCGTGGCCCCACGTGACACTTGGGTTATAAACCTTTCCTGTCATTCAATCATAATTTAGTCCTTCTCGACTCAAAACTTCCTTAATCCTGATACATTAAAACTCATTCGAATGTAATTTGAAAAGCTTTCGACATAATACGATTGGAACGGTAGATGTTGCTTATGTGATCACGATGAAACTATTCATCATGTTCATATCTTGCCCTTTAGCGCCATTACTATGGCGGAATATATGTAAATTCCAATAACCGCGGCCAACCGGTGTTCGAATAAGTTTGGGAACTATCTCACGGGACTGATAGACAACTTAGAGCTCAAATCCATGTGGGGCGTGTACTTTATCTTGCACTATGTAGAAATTGTCCTAATGATCATATTTGTGACAAACAAACGATTTTCAAGTTTGTTGTAGATTATCTTCATGGATACTCGACATGTGCAACCATTTGGAGGCAATAGCTCACGCTATATTTAACTAACTTGAATGGCTGTCTAATACTACGGAATGTGAGACCTGAATTGTCGCATGTAATCTCCATGGAATTTGGCTACGCCATTTTTTTATCTTGTTAGTTTGTACTCTCTCCGTTTCTTTTTAGTCCGCATATAAGATTTGGTCAAAGTCAAGCTTTGTAGAGTTTGACTAACTTTATATTAAAAAATATAAATATTCACAATATGAAATCAATATTATCAGATACACCATGAAACGTATTTTCATACTATATAGTTCTAGTATTGTAGATGTTCATTTTTTTTATATAGATTTGATCAAACTTTGTGTAGTTTGACTTTGACCAAATTTTATATGCAAAGTAAAAAAAAAACAGAGGGAGTATGACTACGTATACTTTGCGACAAAATGGTTGGGTGCACCATCCAATACAGAAGAAACAGGCACCCTCCTCCCCGAAAAAAAACCAAACCATCCAAATGGTGGCGTTTAAGAGGATTTAGCAAACCACTATCAATTTATAATATAGATGAGTTTATCACTGCATGAAATATTGGTTATCTTTTTGATAATTTATTCAACCGCATCCCTCATTTTTGTTTGTAGAAACGTTCTTTTTTTAGTCTTCAGAAAAAAATAGCCAACTTGAAAACCAATTGAAGCGAGCTGTCCGAAATTACAATTGTAGGTGCTTAAGGTTACAATGTCAGCTATGTTCAAGTCCTGCTTTAGCGAAAACATTATTTAGTGATTATGATAATAATCTTATTCGTTTAACTAGTTTGAATCTATCTTGGCTTGGTTAATGAACTAACTTTTTTGTCGCAGCAAAATGTAGAATAAATTCAGCGCGACTTAGCCGTGGTGTATAGAAATCTCAAAACTGCTGCCTGAGCCCTAGTTTCCAACTGTTAACCAGGAACTTCCCATTTGTTTCTGATAAACTTCCCATTTTACGCCTTGGGGGATAAACCTCTCTTGGCAAACGTAAACGGGCGAACGGCACCCGCCGGGGCGCGCGCGGGCACATCGGTAAATTTGGCCCCGGTGACGGCCATGCCGCGCAGCATCTGCCCTCTTGAGCTCTCCAAGGGCCAGAAACGCCACCGCATGCCCCCTCCCTCCCCACGCTATACAACCACACGCACCACACCCATGGCCGCCACCACCACCACCACCATCACCGCCACAGCGCAGCACCACCACCCCCACCACCACAAGCAGCGGCCATGTCTTCCTCGGCCTCCCTGCAGAGCTTCCTCCCGCCCTCGGCCCACGCGGCGAGGTCATCGTCCCGGCACCGGCCCAGCCGCGCCCGCCCCTTCCAGTGCGCGGCCGTCTCCGCGCCGTCGTCGTCGGCCGCCTCGCCGTCGGCCTCGGCCGTCCCGGCGGAGCGGCTGGAGCCTCGCGTGGAGCAGCGGGAGGGCGGCTACTGGGTGCTCAAGGAGAAGTACCGCACCAGCCTGAACCCGCAGGAGAAGGTGAAGCTGGGCAAGGAGCCCATGGCGCTCTTCACGGAGGGCGGCATCAAGGAGCTCGCCAAGCTGCCCATGGAGCAGATCGACGCCGACAAGCTCACCAAGGAGGACGTCGACGTGCGGCTCAAGTGGCTCGGCCTCTTCCACCGCCGCAAGCAGCAGTGTATGCCCCTCCCTCTGCCCCGCACCATCGCAAAATCCATCGTTCACTTGATCAATAATGCATCTGTGCTTCAGCCTTTCTACTCTTGATCGATGCACGTTCGAGCTCCATGATTGGAGCATGCTCCCAAGTTTTTGTGAGTTTTCAATCGCGCATGCACCTCTAAGCTAGCTTGCTCATGGGGAATGAACGTACTGCGCGTTCATTCAATAATCACTCCATCTCCATGTGCCCATGTTCCTCCTAACCTCTACATGATCCTGGCAGAATCAGTGGGGAGAATTGACATTTTGTTTCTGCATGCATATCGAACCGTATTAGACTACAAGTTTTACTGCCAAATTGGTATTCATATTCCTACTCCATTTGCAACTTGCGAGTAGCCTCTCGCCGGCAGACTATTCTGTGATCCAACCGTCGCAGTCATTAGTATCTTAGACTAACACTGATGCAACTTTTTTAGTCGGCGTGTAATAAGATACACCTGAAGGGCCAAGGGGCCAAAGTATCTTGGACTAGTCTGGGGTCATATTAGCTTTATTCAACCACTCGGTATGTGGTACTAGTCGACTTCCTATTGGTTATGCATGACACGTACGCACGGATTTGCCCTGCCAGCGCATGGTGAAATTTGTTCCTTGCTGCCAATTGCAACAACAGAGTAGACCGAGCACATTCTGCAAGAATATAATGGCTTTTTATCAGACACACATGGTGTCTTTTTTTTTTGCAAAATATTCCTTTTGGGGTTTATCCCAAACCAGTGGTTCCAAATCTGCTCTTTTTTGGTCCATTCCTGCAAAAAGAGCGACACATTTTTCTTACTGGGGCCCACTGTGAAAAATGCTGACGAACTGAAGCGTGTGTGTGTGCGCATGCAGATGGGCGGTTCATGATGCGGCTGAAGCTGCCCAACGGCGTGACGACGAGCGAGCAGACGCGGTACCTGGCCGGCGTGATCGAGAAGTACGGCAAGGAGGGGTGCGCCGACGTGACGACCCGGCAGAACTGGCAGATCCGCGGCGTGACGCTGCCGGACGTGCCGGAGATCCTGGAGGGGCTCCGCTCCGTCGGCCTCACCAGCCTGCAGAGCGGCATGGACAACGTGCGCAACCCCGTCGGCAGCCCGCTCGCCGGCATCGACCCCCTCGAGATCGTCGACACGCGCCCCTACACCAACCTCCTCTCCTCCTACATCACCAACAACTCCGAGGGCAACCTCGCCATCACCAACCTGTACGTCATGTTCATCTTGCACTGCATTGCATTGGTGGTGACCACGGTCGAGGATTGCCAATGACTGACATGCCGTTGCTGCCGTGTTATCTTGTGTGTGAGCAGTCCTAGGAAGTGGAACGTGTGCGTGATCGGCACCCACGACCTGTACGAGCACCCGCATATCAACGACCTGGCGTACATGCCGGCCGAGAAGGACGGCAAGTTCGGGTTCAACCTGCTGGTGGGCGGGTTCATCAGCCCCAAGAGGTGGGGCGAGGCCCTGCCGCTCGACGCCTGGGTGCCCGGCGACGACATCATCCCGGTCTGCAAGGCCGTCCTCGAGGCCTTCCGCGACCTCGGCACCAGGGGCAACCGCCAGAAGACGCGCATGATGTGGCTCATCGACGAGCTCGTAAGCTCCTCCCACACCCTCGAAACGAAACGGCATAGATCTTGGTTGATGCGTATATGTATGTGGTTCTGAACTTCTGGTGTTTCGGCGACGCGATGCAGGGGATGGAGGCGTTCCGGTCGGAGATCGAGAAGAGGATGCCGAACGGCGTGCTGGAGCGCGCGGCGGCCGAGGACCTGATCGACAAGAAGTGGGAGAGGCGTGACTACCTCGGCGTGCACCCGCAGAAGCAGGAGGGGCTCTCCTTCGTCGGCCTGCACGTGCCCGTCGGCCGGCTGCAGGCCGCCGACATGTTCGAGCTGGCCCGCCTCGCCGACGAGTACGGCTCCGGCGAGCTCCGCCTCACCGTGGAGCAGAACATCGTGCTCCCCAACGTCAGGAACGACAAGGTGGAGGCGCTGCTCGCCGAGCCGCTGCTGGAGAAGTTCTCGGCGCACCCGTCGCTGCTGATGAAGGGGCTGGTGGCGTGCACCGGCAACCAGTTCTGCGGGCAGGCCATCATCGAGACCAAGGCGCGGGCGCTGCAGGTGACGCGCGACGTGGAGGCGCGCGTGTCCGTGCCCAGGGCGGTGCGCATGCACTGGACGGGGTGCCCCAACAGCTGCGCGCAGGTGCAGGTGGCCGACATCGGCTTCATGGGCTGCCTCACCAAGAACAGCAGCGGCAAGATCGTCGAGGCGGCGGACATCTTCGTCGGCGGCCGCGTCGGCAGCGACTCGCACCTCACGGGGGTGTACAAGAAGGCGGTGCCGTGCGAGGACCTGGTGCCCGTCGTCGCCGACCTCCTGGTGGAGCGGTTCGGGGCCGTGCCCAGGGAGAGGGAGGAGGACGAGGAGTAGGCCGGCCGGCTACGAGCGCCACCGGCTGACCTCCTTCTCCTGATCTCGATCGCCTCTGTCGTCGGCTCGTCGCGCACGTAGAGATGGGCTGCGGCTGATGTAAAGTAGGCAATGCCGCCATGCTTCCATGGCGCACGCTTGTACCACGTTTTTGGTTTGTTGTCGGAGCCCAAAGTTCTTCCGGTTACGTTACAGGGGATGATTGAATTGGTGATATACTTCCTCCAGTCTTTTTTAGTTCGCATATAAGATTTGACTGAAGTCAAGCATCGTAAAGTTTGACCAACTTTATAAAAAAAAATACCAACATTTACAATTTGAAATCAATATCAATAGATGTGTCATGACTTAAAGTTTCATATTGTATAACTTTAGCATGACAGATGTTGATATTTTTTATATAAATACGGTCAAACTTTGTGAAGTTTGACTTCAAAGAATTCTAATATGCAGAGTAAAAAGGATCGGAGGAAGTATAAAATAAGAAGCAGATTATATGTAGCTGTTCCTATCGGTTCTTCAATCATGTGCTACAGTGTACTGTTGCTGGATTATGCAGTTCAATCGGGAGCTCAGCATCGGGATAGGGAGAAGTTGCTCAGTGTTCACAGCTTGGTATCGGGGTTGCACATCAACTTTGCCAAGTGTTTGGTGTACCCTTTTGCCAAGTGATCGGTGTCGGCGTGTCGCCCATTGGTTGCCCGGCGAGCACGATTTTGAGGCAACATCGGTTCTGAAGTGTGAGTTAGCTCCTTTCATGGTCAGATCCCCTGAATCCCCTTTGTACTAAGCAAGCCATCGAGCGAGGCGTTCCAACCCTCAGACCATCTCCAACGCCGTTCATCAGAGCATTTACAGCCAGACACGTATTTCCTTCCTAAACGTCCGTCTCGTCAATGCCCAGTCGCAAAAGATTGACCTAACCGGACCCCTCATTTAGTCTCCTACGTCTGGATTGGCCGGCACCTCTCATATTGGTATCGAATGTAGGGACGATATGAGGGCGCCCAGATGCGACCGGGCACCCCGCTCCTGGTCACAGCGGTCCCACATGTAGCCACCCGAAGCATGTTCCTGAACTGATGGCGACAAGCTTCTCAACCGATAGAGATTTTTATTTTGTTCATCAAAATTTTACGACACATTGTGATACAAAAAAATGCCGTGGAAACGTCAATATTCCGTTTGTGAAGGAGATAGACCATGACTATAAATCTTCTTTGTGTTAAGCAAAGAAGATTCATAGTTACGGCCCATCTTCTTAACAAAGGGTGCAATGATAACCGAAGCTTATCACTTCCGCATGACCCGGTCTTGCGGTGAAGCCTGTATTTACAAGAAAATGAGTGGGAGCACTACAACATTTCTGATAAGTATATGTGAATGACATATTGTTGATCGAAAATAATGTAGAATTTTCTAGAAAGCATAAAAGAGTGTTTGAAAAAAGTTTTTTAAAGAAAGACCTCGATGAAGCTGCTTACACATTGAGCATCAAGATCTATAGAGATAGATCAAGACGCTTGATAAGTTTTTTCAATGAGTACATACCTTGACAAGATTTTTGAAATAGTTCAAAATGGAACACTTAAAGAAGGAGTTCTTGCCTGTGTTGCAAGGTGTGAAGTTGAGTAAAGACTCAAAACCCGACCACGACAGAAAATAGAAAGAGAATGAAAAGTCATTCTCTATGCCTCAGTCATAGGTTCTATAAATTATGCTATGCTGTTTACCAGTCCTATTGTATACCTTACCATCTTTCTGGCAAGGGAGTACAATAGTGATCTAGGAGTAGATCACTGGACAGCGGTCAAAATTATCCTTAGAGGACTAAGAAAATATTTCTCGGTTATGGAGGTGATAAAAGAGTTTGTCGTAAAGAGTTACATCGATGCAAGCTTTTCACACCAATCTAAATGACTCTAAGTCTCGATCTAGATACATATTGAAAGTATGAGAAATTAGCTAGAGTAGCTTCGTGCAAAGCATTGTAGACATAGAAAATTTGTAAAATACATATGGCTCTGAATATGGCAGACCCGTTGACTAAATTTCTCACAAGCAAAACATGATCACTCTTTGGGTGTTAATCACATAGCGATGTGAACTAGATTATCGACTCTAGTAAACCCTTTGGGTGTTAGTCACATGGAGATGTGAACTATTGATGTTAAATCACATGATGATGTGAACTAGATTATTGACTCTAGTGCAAGTGGGAGACTGAAGGAAATATGCCCTAGAGGCAATAATAAAGTTATTATTTATTTCCTTATTTCATGATAAATGTTTATTATTCATGCTAGAATTGTATTAACCAGAAACATAATACATGTGTGAATACATAGACAAATAGAGTGTCATTAGTATGCCTCTACTTGATTAGCTCGTTGATCAAAGATGGTTATGTTTCCTAACCATAGACATGAGTTGTCATTTGATAAACGGTTCACATCATTAGGAGAATGATGTGATTGACTTGACCCATTCCGTTAGCTTAGCACTTGACCGTTTTAGTTTACTGCTATTGCTTTCTTCATGACTTATACATGTTCCTATGACTATGAGATTATGCAACTCCCGATTACCGGAGGAACATTTTGTGTGCTACCAAACGTCACAACGTAACTGGGTGATTGTAAAGGTGCTCTACAGGTGTTTCCAATGGTACTTGTTGAGTTGGCATAGATCGAGATTAGGATTTGTCACTCCGATTGTCCGAGAGGTATCTCTGGGCCCTCTCGGTAATGCACATCACTATAAGCCTTGCAAGAAATGTGACTAATGAGTTAGTTACGGGATGATGCATTACGGAACGATTAAAGAGACTTGCCGGTAACGAGATTGAACTAGGTATTGAGATACCGACGATCGAATCTCAGGCAAATAACATACTGATGACAAAGGGAACAGCGTATGTTGTTATGCGGTTCGACTGATAAAGATCTTCGTAGAATATGTAGGAGCCAATATGGGCATCCAGGTTCCGCTATTGGTTATTGACCAGAGAGGTGTCTCGGGTCATGTCTGCATAGTTCTTGAACCCGTAGGGTCCGCACGCTTAACGTTCGTTGACCATATAGTATTATCTATACTACTATATAGTGTATCAGTTTGAATTCAGGCATTGAAATGCATATCCAGCCGTTCATTAGGGACCATCCGACGGTCAAAAGTGCTTGGATTCGCAGCTACAATAGCGCTGAATGTCGATCGTTCGAGAGGCAGCCATGAAGTAGCATAGAGTCAAAACTATCTGGGTCGTTCTAGAACCAACCCACTGCATGTCTGCGACGGGTTGGAGCTAACTGAGTTTCCAGAGACCAGATTCCACACTCCTCCCAGCCCCCCTGGAGCAGCACAAATTATTTCAACAAAGTAGACTCGGGCAACGGTACATGTGGTTGATAGGTAGGTTGCTCCAGTGCTACTTAGTCTGACAAGTGGTAAAAGTAAGACGAAGAAATATATAGAAGTAAACAGATTGAACCAGTGCTGTTTTGGGTGGAAAGCTGTAGCAAGATAAACAGTGCACCACCCACATATATGACGTCCCTGATCTGGTGTGCACTTTTGGATCAAAAGCTGTAGCAAATGTTACATTAAAACATAGCAATAGGTACCCAAATTTATGTATACTACACATTCTTTGCATGTGATAGTTATTGAGTATATGAACATGAGAAGCTTTCTTATTTAAATTATAGGCATTTGGTTCCTGCTTCTGTACGCGCACAACTTTCATTTGTCTGGAATCATTTTTTATAGGATTTCTCAAAGCTTACCATGTAGTGTTTTCTTCGGCCCAAGTCAACCCACAATGTTAAGACGCGCATTGTGCGTGCATACATACTAGTATGAGTTATGTATGTTGGTGACCGGATGTTGCTCGGAGTCCGGAATGAGATCACAGACATGATGAGGAACTCCGGAATGGTTTGGAGATAAAGATTGATATATGGGATAATAATGTTTGGTCTCCGGAAGGATTTCGGAATTCACTAGAAGGGGTTCCAGATGTCTCCCAAAATGTTTAGGTACGAGAACACTTTATTTGGGCCAAAGGGGAAAGCCCACAAGGTTTTTGGAAAAGCGCAAAAAGAAGTTTTGTGGAGTCCAGAGGCCAGACGCTAGGGTCCCTGGCGTCTGGGTCCAGACGCCGGGAACCCTGGCATCTGGCCCTGGAGTCCGAGAAGGATTCTTACCTTTCGGATGAAACCGACTTTGTGGAGACTTTTACTCCAAGTTTCGACCCCAAGGCTCAACATATAAATAGAGGGGTAGGGCTAGCACCCAAGACACATCAAAAAACACCAAGCCGTGTGCCGGCAACCCCGTCCCTCTAGTTTATCCTCCGTAATAGTTTTCGTAGTGCTTAGGCGAAGCCCTACGGAGATTGTTCTTCACCAACACCGTCATCACGCCGTCGTGCTGTCGGAACTCATCTACTACTTTGCCCCTCTTGCTGGATCAAGAAGGTGAGGACGCCATCGAGCTGAACGTGTGCTGAACGCGAAGGTGCCGTACGTTCGGTACTTGATCGGGACGGATCGTGAAGGTGTACGACTACATCAACCGCGTTGATAAACGCTTCCGCTTTCGGTCTACGAGGGTACGTAGACATACTCTCCCCTCTCGTTGCTATGCACCACCATGATCTTGCGTGTGCGTAAGATTTTTTTTAAATTACTACGTTCCCCAACAACCGCACCTTCACTTTGCGGGTCTCATCTCCGCGTGCACAAAAGGGAACAATAAGGACTTGGAGGATTGGCGCCGCCGTATATTTAGACTAGGTTTAGGTCCGATCACTTTTGTTTAACGAAACATGTCGAAGATGTAAGAGCATCTCCAGCCGCGCCCCCAATAGCCCCCAGGCGACTTTTTACGCGCCGGCGCCGAAAAAAACCCCAGTCGTGCTCCCAAGACGCCGAAATCAGCCGGCTCGGCCTGTTTTTGGGCCCGGCGATCACAGGCCGAACCCGGCGCACTGGGGGGCGCTCGGGGGCTCTGGCGCAAGGGAAAAACACGCCTGGACCACATTGTCAGGCGAAAAGTCAAGCCAATCATCCAGATTCGCCTCCCACCACCCCACGCGCCCGGCCGCCACCTGCTGATCCCGGCGCCGCCCACCGCCCACCACCGCTAGATAGGCTATTCCCCGCCGGAAAAGAGATGAGGTTTCACCGCGGCAGCCTCTCCACCACCGCCCGGGCGGTTTTTCTGGCGAACTGGCCGCGCAGGGCGGTTTACCGGTGGTTGTGCGCCCACCACACCCGCAAGATGTTCAGCGATTTGCCTGCTCGGCAATGGACTCGGACGACGAGGAGGCGCTCGCTGCGCTGCTCGAGGAGGAAGCCGACGCCGACGTCCAGGAAGAGGAACATCTCATGGTCCTCGCCGCCCTCGCCGGCCTGCTCGCGAGCAATGAAAAGCGGCGGCGAGGTGGCTCGGCGCCGGGGTGGATGAAAGCAAAGAACCGACATCATCTGGAAGGCTACTGCATGCTCTACTCTGACTACTTCGCCGACGCTCCACTGCATGGCGACAAAGTATTTCGGCGCCGTTATCGGATGAGCCGAAAGCTTTTCCTCAGGATTGTGAATTCCATCCGGGAGTTCGACATCTACTTCAAGTGCAAGAAGGATTGCACCGGCAAATTTGGATTCACCTCAATCCAGAAGTGCACGATAGCAATGAGGATGCTTGCATACGGAGCTTCCGGTGATTAACTCGATGACTATGGGCGCATGGCCGAGTCCACGACCATTGAGTGTTTCTACAAGTTCTGCAGGGCAGTGGTGGCAGTGTTTGGACCGCAATACTTGCGAACACCCAATTCGGAAGACACTGCTCGGATCCTAGCACAGAATGCAGCAAGAGGATTTCCTGGGATGCTTGGAAGCATCGACTGCATGCATTGGAAATGGAAGAACTACTCATTTGCTTGGCAGTGGATATACAAAGGCGCCAAAGGTGGTTGCAGTGTGGTACTTGAGGCGGTCGCCACACAGGACCTCTGAATTTGGCACTCCTTCTTTGGTATGCCAGGAACTCACAATGACATCAACGTGCTGCAGTGCTCCCCTCTCTTTGCCAAGCTTGTTGAAGGTCATTCTCCTCCGGTGAACTTTGATGTCAATGGGCGGCACTACAACAAGGGGTATTGCCTAGTTGATGGCATCTTTCTGAGATGGTCTACATTTGTGAAGACTATCTCAAACGCTATGCCAGGAGGCAAGAAGTTCCACTTTGCCAAGGTTCATGAGGCTTGCAGGAAGGATGTCGAGGGAGCATTTGGTGTGCTCCAATCTCGATTTGCTGTTGTTCGGTATCCCGCTCAGACCTGGTCGAAAGATCAAATGTGGGAGATCATGACTTGTTGTGTCATCTTGCACAATATGATCATTGAGAGCGAGCAGGAAGAGCCAGTGTTTGACACTCAACCATACTAGACGCAGGGTCCTCTTGTCCAAGTTGATCACCAGCTACCGGCAACCTGGACTACCTACCTCAATATGCGTCAGGAGATCCGAGACCCACAGATGCATCAACAACTGCAGCAGGATCTGGTGGAGCACCTATGGAGGCTCAAGGGCGACGCCTAGCTCGATGTGTGATGAAATATGAGTTTTTTGTTGAACATTGATTTTCTATGATGAACTATGTGATAAAAAATAATATTATGTTGACAATTCACGCCGAACTGTGTCGAATATGGGCCGACTCGCGCCGATATCGGGCCATTTTTCACAGAAAGTGGGCCGAAAAGCGGGCACATTTGCATAAAAAATGGGCCGATATCGGCGCCTGGGAGACGGCTGGATGCCCAACCACCCCCAGAGCCGATTATACCGCCGGCTCGCCCCATGTGGCGAATTTTATGCCTCTTGGGGGGCCAACGGCTGGAGATGCTCTAATGAATGGGTTCTGATTTAAATGAAAATCATCCAATTTGCATGTAATTCGTACAATTTGTTCAAATCTAGTTTAAAATGTATCTGGGCATGGTTGGATGGTTGGCTGCCGTATCACTGTTCGTGGATCCATCCATCCGCATCCGCGAACATATATCGTGTCCGTTTTAAGGGCCAGCGTTGGAGATTCCCTTACAAGCACGTCTTCTGGAAAGCCAATCAAATAACTTTTTCTTTTTTTGCGATAAAGCCAATTAAATAGCCGATGAACTAGCTAGAAACTCATTTAGCTCCAGATCTTCGACCCCCGACTTTATTTCTGTGTACGGCGTGTTGCCGTCCAGCCGCTCCGACGGCCACGGTATCCTGCAACTCTCAAACTGTGATTTTTGACAGTTGCGTGAAGTGTCCGTCCCGATTGTTGCAATCCAATCTTGTAATCTTGCGAGCAAATGCAAGTTATGGGCGCCAACGCCTAACCACCGCAACAGAGCCACCCTAGCCCCAGCCGAGGCGACTCCCGTACCTGCACGTCTCCCCTCCCCTCCCCGGTGGTTGGAGCCATTATAGAGGGCGAGGAGCATCATCATCTCCTACAGTCCCAAGATCCCAACCCCATCTCCAGCCTGCCCCCTCCCCCAGTCCCCAAATCCGTAGTCCCGCGCGCCGCGATGGAGGCGAGCAAGCTCAAGGCGGCCAGGCTCCTGGAGCAGATGAGCGCCCACCTCGCCACCGACGCCGGCAAGGAGATCGCCAACAAGGTCGGCTTCGTCTACCAGCTCAACATCTCGCCCAAGGTATGTATGATATCCTCCTATCCCTCTGTTTCCCCCATGGAATCCGCCTAAAGCTTGGTGCCCTCGGCCTCGGGGGTTCGATCTGATAACAGAAGATGGGCGTGGACGAGGAGATCTTCGTCGTGGACCTCAAGAAGGGCGCCGTCTCCACAGGTCCCAGGTCCCCCCGCCGCTCGATTCGTCCCGCGCGGGTTCTGAATTTCGGTTTCTTGGGCCGTGTTTCCTGAAGAAATTCTTCCTCTGCTGTGGTCTCGGCGTGCAGGGAAGTACGAGGGGACGCCGGACGCGGCCTTCACCTTCACCGACGACGACTTCCTCGCCATCGCCAGCGGCAAGCTGAACCCGCAGATGGCGTTTATAAGGTAAATAACTGCGAATAGAAGAATCAAGAACCTCACCGCTGATGATTCAGAGCTTTTTCCCCCAAAGGATCCTGGCTATATCATGCTCGATTTGCTGTGCTGTGCAGGGGCAAGCTGAAGATCAAGGGGAGCATCAGCGCCGCGCAGAAGTTCACGCCGGACATCTTCCCCAAGCCGTCCAAGTTGTAGAACGCCGGGTTGCCGTGCCTTGCCCCAGTGATCGGTTAATAAAAGAGTCAGTTATGCTCGCGATGGCAATTTGGTGTGACCAGAGTGTAAGAGAGTTTGTTTACCTAGAACCACCACAAGAACAACAGAAGTTTCAGTGTCTGGAGTGAAATTCGTTTTCTTTGGTTGAGAAGGAGACCAGTAGGTACGAACGATGTGTACTGTGGCGATGATGATAGGCTTTCTGGATCACCGTTTACTGTTACTCGGATGCATGCCCATTCTAGATTATTATAAACGGAACACCGATCGTACACGTCATGCTTAGTATCACATCTGAACGTACGGAGATGAGCCCTCAGTCTAAGCACTCGGCGACGCAGCCCATCGAACTCACGTCCACACCCATGCTCTCTAGGTATCCATGTCACTTTAGAGGAAATGAATTGTTAAATGTGAATACAAGACTCACGCGTACGACGTAAGAAATGAATTGTTAACTATGAATACAAGACTCACGCGTACACTAGCCACAATGAAGAATAACATACATATATCGCTAGACTATATTACTACCTTCATATAGTGGGTAGTAGCATAAGTGTGGTAACATGCAGAGCTTCATTTATTAGTTTATAGACTCATATTGCATTGGGACATATGATGTTACAGTAACTAGCTAAGTTACCACAACTACCTCTCTCCTCATTGACTCATTGCCATATAAGCAAATTTGTTGAGTTGGACTCGATGTTACTGCTGAAGTTACTCCCACTGTGGCTAGTCTAACAATGGATACCTGTGCTGTGATATTTATTACTCCTTCCCTTAGTTTACAGGGGGTACGTGTATCCTTAGGTTGTCAATTTGATGAAGCTAATATAAGTCATATATTACAAAAGAAAATACCAATATAAACTTCAGATGTTCTATTTCTAAAAGATATAATTTTTGTGTTATAGTTTATATTAGGGTGATAAAATTGACAACCTAGTATACGCATAGGATTTGTAAACTATAACGGATGGAGTATAGCTGTACATCGGACATTAAATGTTCTAAAGTGTCACTGAATCCAGTTAGACGACGAGAGTTTTCCACGCAACATTGAATTGGATTTGTACGGGAGGGACGAGTCAAGTATCGAGGATGTATAGAATTAAAAATCATGCGTCGGCTGGCAAATTAAAGAGTGGCGTGGCTACACTGTGTGTTGCGGGTAAGTGTAAGTCACTGTTTGTCCAGAGAGAATGTAGTGCAACGTTAAACAAAATTAGACTCCTTGGTATCTTGTTTCGATTAGCAGGGATACATCAGCAATAAGCATCACAACAGCAGCGGATGCTACTTTAACATTCCATGGAACAACGAGTAAAAACATTTAGGGTGGCATTGAAAAACTACATTATTCCTTGAAGGCTTCTGAAAACCGGCGACCTAGAGGCATCATGTCAATGTCCGGCGACCTTGATGCAAACAAAAAGCATAGCGATGAGATTCAGAACTAGAAAGGCAATGAATTGGATTTGGCGTGATCGGCCGCTGGTTGGTGAGTTTAGACATAGCATATAACAGGACCTACCACCATGTGGCTACAGAACGCCGTGAATTTAATGATTGACATACGTCAGAAACAAAGGAGAGTACAAGAGGATAAAGCTCGCAATACATTGCGGCTAATATAGTGGTTGAGAATCCCGAGATGCATGGGGGTTGAGATTTCAGTGGGCAGCGTCGCTGAGTGCTCCTATGCAATTTCATATTAACACTACACTAGTGTCAAAAGCGTTCTTATATTAGAGTACTCTTCTACAGACATGCGTGAGATAAAAACAGCGAAGCGAGCAGGCCAATAGTAGGCACCAGTCGTGAGACCTCCAGTCTCTCAACAAGAATAGCATGCGTTCTTTTCCCGGCCCTTTTATCGCCGGAGCATGTCTGCTCCAATCAAGGAATTGCTAACTTTGTTGGAGCAGCCATTTGACCAAAGAACGAGGTCGTCGGCACATCTTCTAGTAGTAGCTGTGATGTTCAAATCTTCAAATTCTTCCTACAAGACCATTGAATTCCCGCGTTTCCACAGTAAATTCCAAAGCACAGGAATAATGGCCATGGATCGTACTTTGTTGCTTCTATGAAAGTGATGAACGACTTCTATTTTAGAGAAACATGGAGGTGATCCCTGGTTCCGTTAGCCAAAATGAAACCACGAGTAGCTCATACATGGTTCACCCGCAAAAAAAAACTCATACATGCATGGTTCAGGTGTCTGAAAGAAGTAGACAATGAGCAAACAGAAACTAAATCGAAACAACTAAGGCACAACACACACAGATGGGTTAAAAAGCATGAAAAGAAAGCTGCTAGCATGAGAGCCTCACGGATAATTTGGGCATGTCGAGCCTTTAGGGGCGCTGCTTCTGTCTGAGGTGACCAACTGGGTTCCAGAACAGCGGCACGTCGGCGGCGATGGTCGTTCGGTGGTCCATGAACTTTGATGTAATTTTTTTCATGTTTGGGGTGCTTTGCACTTCCGATGAATTTCTATAATAGATCTGATCAATTTCGCAAAAAATATATACAAACACACCACATAGTTGTTGCACATGTAGTATTAGGGCAAAGTTTTTCTTATTAGAGAGCCAAACTTAGCAATGGAAAGGTAATCAACACCTAGAGGCTAGAGGGATACCAAAGCGTTCATTGACTACTTTCCAAATAAAACTAGAGACTACACATTCGAACATCAAATAATATTCCGATTCATCTTGAGAGTCGAACACACAATCCAAAGGTTTGATATGTGCCTCTTCGTGAGCTTATCTCTAGTCATGACTTTGTTGTGAAGATTAGCCAGAGAAATATATGAATTTTAGGAGGAACATTCAAGCTCCAGCAAGAAGGAATATAAACAGGCCGCACTCCTCGAAAGTTAATGACATGGTATGGTACAAAGAGCTAGTGGAATATAATGCCCTTTGCTATCTAACTGCCAAATAAGAGAGTCAGTGTCACCTGTGTAACTAAGGCCATGTTTGTTTCAGCTTCAGTTAGCTTCGAGTCACCTATGGATTCATTTCACTAGCAAGGCTGATTTATAGAATCAGCTTTGCCACTGAAGTACACCTGACGTGCTTCAGGCAATTCCACTGAAAATGGCATGTCTTCATTAGCAAAGCTGGTTCCAAATAGCTATTTGTTTTAACTTCTGATTTTTTCTACGAGAATCTGTTTCCTAAAGCTGAAACAAACAAGGCCTAACAATTTTAGCACTTTCAAGTAGTTGGAGCCATTGTTTCATACCCGTATGTCAAAATTCCTTCTAAAGGTGAGCTTGACCCGGTGATCATCACAAATCTCTCTAATAGTTTTGGATGACTCATTACAAATAACATACAGTGGGTAGAATTGAACAGATAAAGGGGATGTACCAAACCAGGTATCATCTTAGAATCTATTTTTCTCCCCATTACCCACCAGCCATCTATAACCAAACTTGGTGGCTTTAATCACATTCATTACCCCTTTCCAGAATCTAGAGCTGTTAGTAGTAGCACATGTAAAGATATTTGGTTTGTTGGTTCTATATTTAGGATCAATTATGGTCTTCCAAATCTTTCCTTCCCCCTCAGAGTATCATTTGATCCAAGGGAGACAGAGGTTAAGTTCTTGGAGATTGGGAACACCCAATCCTCCAATTTCTTTCTTCATACAAACAGGCCTCCAATTTGCTAGGTGAAGCTTTCTACGACCTTCAAAGTCATTCCACAAACAGTGAGCCATTCAAGTATTAATTAACTCTATAGCCTATTTGGGAAACTTTAAAACGGAAGGAAGGTAAATAGGAATGCTCACAATACAAGCCTGGAAAAGAAACAACCTTCCTTTATAGGAGAGAAGCTTGCCTCTCTAGCCAACAATGACCTTCAAAATTTTATCTATCAATGGTTGGATGTCCTCTCTCCCGAGCTTATCGTGATGGAGAGGGATACCTAGGTATCTAATAGAGAATTTGCCTTAATTTCAACTAAGGATATCTACAAAGACATGAAATTCTTCCTCTACCATATTAAGGGGTATCTACTCACTTTTGTTATAGTTTATCTTCATCCTAGAAACTTGCTCAAAGCAAGATAGATCATTTTAAGGATTTATGCTTTCTCTACATCTTTGTCTAAGAATAATACAGTATAATACGCATACTTGATATTCATGATGCCTCCGGTGCAAACAGAAGGGCGGAACCCTCTAACTAGATCATGCAATGCTGCTTTAGCTAACATCCTAGTAAGAACATCTACCACTGGGTTACTGAGAAGGGGGGGAGGGGATTCCTCTATCTAAGCCCTTTGCCAGTACTGAAGAAACTACTCTTACAACCATTAATTTTGACATCAACAGGCCCCCACGAGTAATTTTGTGGATCCAAGAGGATCACTTACCACCAAAGCCTCTACACTGTAACAATTCTCCCAGGAAATCTAGTTTGACAATCTCAAAGGCCTTTTCATGGTCTAACTTAAGCGACAGTCCTTGCTCTTTAGAAGATGGACTGAATGCAGCACCTCATGTGCAACTACACTTTCTAAAATGAATCTTCCTTTTAGAAAGGCAGATTGGTTTCTAGCAACCAGTCTTTGTAGAATAATACTAATCCTATTAGCTGACACATGGGTGAAGATTTTAAAGTTATAGTTAAGCAAGCTAACTGGTAAAAATTTCTTCATAGAAGTAACATCAACTTCCTTAGGATTAACGTCAAAATGGAAAAATTAAGCATGTATATGTCTAGAGTACCCTTATATAGTCATCCAACATGTTCATAAGATCAGCTTTAACTAGATTTCTGAACTTTTGATATAATAGAAAAGGAATTCCATCAGGGTCAGGGGCCCGTCAGAGTAAGAGTGAAAAATGCCTTTGTAAGCTCTTCTTCTAAAAAGGGGACTAAAGGAGCTCATTCGTTGCATCTTGAACTTTCTCTTCTAAGGTAAATAAGTATTGGTTGAGACTAAAATGTT